CACAAGGAATGAGTTAAATGTTTGGTCCAACAATTGTCCCTCTAGCAGATGAATTGCTGCAAACACAAAGAATGATAATTGAGAACTTAATAGAATCCACTGAAGTATTTTTTTTTATTACTTACGTTATATAACCAGATGATCAATATTTATATTATGTGATAGTTTTGATGGTTATATACATGTTTCAAAACTTTACTGATTCATATCTTATGGTTTCATATGGTGAATAAATGGTAGGAATGTGTTGGTACTGTTCTAGTAAGAACATGTGAGCTTGAGACAGATCTTGGATGATACTATCAAAGTTGCACAAAGTTTGCATCAAAAGTTACTACTAGAACCCGGGTTATTTACTGTGAAAAATGCAAACTACCAAGAACCTCTATCCCTAGGCAAGTAATTTAGTTATTACAAGTAATTTAGTAATTTAGTTATTGCATCCTTGAATTAATTCACTGAAAATTTGCAAGTTCAAGGTTAATGTTCAAGTAATTGATAATTCTGGATCAACAACTTTCACTCTCTTTGATATGGTGATTTCTTAAGCTTTGGGAATAAATGTACAAAGTTTGTTGGATAACATGAATCAGGTAATAGGATTGGTGGATGTGTGTTACGGTATTTAAATTAACGTACTTAATAATTTGTTAAAAAAATTTATTTATATATTATATTTTTTGTTATAGGATTTAGCTTATCCACCAAAGCTTTATATATTTGTGGACAAACAAATATTGTTTAAGGTTGAAGTTACTGATGCTAATTTGTTTCGTAATTGGCACAATTATACTTTGAAGAAGTTGACTGAAGACGAGAAGATAATAAATCAGTTTTTAACATTGCATGAGATCAATGTATGAAAATATTTTCTATTGATATTCCTTATATTTTATTGATAATTTATGTAATCCTCACTCTCTCAAACATATATCACAGATGAATAACGCGAATATTAATGTTGAGTGTGTTCATATAGGAAGTGAAATTGCCGATAATAATATTATGGTATACTAGCATCCAGACGGGCACTCGCGTGCCCGTCTGTCCGCTTTTTTAATGCCCATAAAAATATAAACGATATTTTTTGTTAAAATAAAATTTAAAAAAATACAATATGTAGAAGTTAATAATAATAAGTTATGTAAAAATTAATAATAAAAAATTATGTGGAAGTTAATAATAAGAAGTTATGTGAAAGATGTTTGTGTTCCACTCATGTTTTCTTTGGTGGAAAAAGAGAAGTTACTTGAGGATAATTTTGGAAGAAAAAATGGCCACACCAAAAACACTTATCCTCTTTATATATAGTTATAGGTAAATTTTTTTTTTTTTTTATATATTTTTCATCACGTTCAGTTGATTTTACAATTTGTGCACTATATCATTTTTATGGTTATTGAATTATATATGTAGGAGGTTATTGAAAGTGGTGATTCAAACAAAGAAGAATTGACTACTGCAGATTTTGGAAATACACCTACAAGTAAGACACTGGGAAAGAGGTTGACTGATAGTCCCGAATCAATTGTTGTAAATGATATCAATGGTGGTGCTTCATCAGTTGTCAAAGATCTTAAATGTGTGAAGCTTGAAAAATCTGATTGAGTGTCTTGCGTGTTGAAGACTATTCGTTGTGTCTTGTAGTTATTTTCTTTTTAAGTGAACATGTTAATGCCAAATATGTCATTTGTTTTAATGTTTTGATTTTCTTTTTAGGAATATGTGAACTCTGTTTGGATAAACTTATATGTTATCCTTTTTGTTACAAAAAATGATCAATCAATTGAATTTGGTTTATTCCATTTGGTTAATCTATTTATTTAATCTATAACATATATAAAGGCAAAACTTGATTTTTAGTGTAGCCTAATTTTCTACCGATTTTACCCTTATTTTAAAATGTGTAACGTACACAATAACTTCCCTTGAACAACTACTATCATCATTCACACAATTTCTTTCTAATTAGTTCCTCATAACTTCCATTTAAAATTAACATTAAATAAAAAAATATCATTTATATTTTTTTTTACATGTGCGCATTTAAAAAGCAGACAGACAGGTACACGAGTGTCCGTCTGAACGCTAGTATTGTATAAAGTGACTTGACCTTTTTTTTTAAACTGTCAAAGATGTATTATGTTATAAACGGGTGCACGAATCATTTAGGCACAATAAATAAATTGGTCTTTGTTGATTCATGAAATTTAAGGTTGCACATATATTTATGATTTACAACGAAAATATAGAAGATACTTAAATATATAAGTTTTTTAGATAGCAATATTTTTTTTTTGGCAATTAGAGAGCAATAGTTATAAAAAATAGGGCCGACACAATCAAACTGGAGGTTCTGTTCTAATTTTAAAAATAGACTCAAATTTAAGAAAAAAAATATAATTATAATAAATATAAATGACACCTCAAAAATATAATTATAAATTAATAAAAATATATTTATTAATATTTATTAATATTAATGCAAAAATATTGTATTTTTCAAGATTTAGGGGAGCTCCAAAATTTGAAGCCCTGTACTGTAGAGCCTACTGCTCCTGCACAGGGCCGAACCCGTAAAAAACACATAAATAAAAACACAAATTGGACACACACATTCTAAATATTAAAAAATAAAAATAATTAAGTAATATTTAATTATGTGACTATATTGATTATAAGTTGTTTTTTTCCCCTCTTTTGTGTGTATGTCCAAATCTATTTTAGTTGGAACTTTTTCTATCTAAAACTTACTCCCTCTGTAAGAAAAATATCCATTTTTTGTCCCAAATTATAAGAGAAAAACATAAACATTTAAGGTTTTTAAAATTGTATTTTTTTTATTCTCATAAAATTAAATGCAAACTACATTTAATTTACTCTCTCTTGTCTACAACCAATAACCAATAAAAATTGTTACTACATCTTCCTATGCAACTTATTTCAAAGAAAAATATTAAAAAAAACATACTTCAAAGAATTATGTTTTATTTTTTTCTAATAAGTATGATTTTTTATTTTTCCTTATAATTTGGGACGGATGAAGTATTATTTTTTAAACAATGTGATTTGATTGTTCAAATGTATCTAGCATTTGTTATATTTATCTTTTTGGTATTGTTGTACCTAATCAAATTTGCAATAATCACGTAAACATTCAATGGTAATTGAGATTATACTTTTTGATATAATAAAAAATAAAAATTTATTATCATTAGTTTTGGTACTGCGATATAATCATTTAATGCATGCACTAGGCTTATGGTTACTTACAAAATAGCAATAATCAATTTGCTGGATCCAATACATTCATGCACTGAACCTTCATTTTATAGAGAAGCTCAATAATTTGCTTATTTGTTTTTTTAGCACCGTTATTATTAATTTTTTTAGAGCTCTCTTATTGATCATGTGGTCAGTTCTTGAGCCTATAAATTAATAAATGCACACACTTATATTGCATTCTTATGATACAATGGCTTGACTATTAAAACACGAATCCTATAAATTAATAAATTTCTCACACTGTTACCTAATTCATATAATATACTCTTCCACAACCGAAAATATGAAAGCACAATCTTTCTCAAAGTTATATCATGGCAGAAGAAAGTGGAAGACACAATTCTTCCAATAGAATTAGAACGCATAGAAGTATAGTCTGCAATCAAGGAAATAATAATAATATTGGAACAATCAATAGGATTCCATTCTGCAATATCACTAATGGTATTTATAGTTTTATTCATTATTTTTTTATTTGTATATTTTTCTACACTATAATAGTCTGATAATTATTTTATAATATTATGAAATACAAAAGAAAATATGTGCAGTTGGTTCTTCATCATATGAATTGCATCCTTTTACAAAAAGAATTGCACCAACACCAAGTTCATTGACAGCAGAGAAATATACCATACATATGGCACACTTATTAATCATTCGAGGGATGCACAAGGAGCATCATATGTTCGGGATTTGTCTTCTATTGAATCACACCCCATTTCATTTCAAAGTAATATTCTAAGTTGAACCACGCAAAAATTCAAAAGTTTTAAAAAAGTCCATAAACTAGATGTTTTGATAATTTGGCCGAATTAAGCTATCTCATACATACATAGATTCATATTTGATTTTAAATTATATATTTTACAGATATTGATATTACATTGGATGATGAGCATGAGGCGAACAAAGTGATATGCACTAATACCGAAAATTCTGATATACCTTCTAATCCAGATATTCTTATAATTTTAATTTTTTTTTCTAATATGACATTATGTCTTTTAATGTGATATATATATATATATATATATATATATATATATATATATATATATATATATATATATATATATATATATATATATATATATATATATATATATATATATATATATATATATATATATATATATATATATATATATATATATATATATATATATATATATATATATATATATATAAAATTAATAGTATATTTTTTAGGATGTTTTATAAATTTTGTCATTCTTATTGTTTAACATGTAATTGTCTATAATTAATTATAGGAAGTCCTTTCCAATTAGAAAACCTCAATGGATTTGGTGAAGAATTAATGATACTGTTAAGTCAGGTATTATCTTTTAGTTAAAAAAACATGTGATATATAATATGTTATATAAGTGTGTAAAGTTTTTATTTGACATCTGTACGAAATTAATTATATAATATTTATAGCAAATGAATATTTGGATTATTTTAATATTGACCAACCAAATTGGATATGTGGAAATCGTGGTGCAATGATATGGTATGAAGAGCGTGTTGATAAGCAGAAGAAGCCAGAAAATCCAAATTTTTTATTGTGTTACAGTCAAGGCAGTACTGAAATTGCTTTATATACTCGCCTACCAGAACCTTTGTATGATTTATATCACAAACATGATAGAAGGGGTAAATTTTTTTTAGAAAATATTAGATCCTTCAACATCATGTTTGCCTTCACTTCAATGGGTAGCAAAATTAATACTTCATTAAATGATGGGAATGCACCTCCATTGTGTGTGATGAACGGCGAGAATTATCATCAAATTGGAAGTCTGTTGCCATTGCCAGGAAAAAGTCCGAAATTTGCTCAACTATATATACGCGAAACTTATAATGAAATCGCAAATAGAATGGTTGTTGTTAGGTACTTAATTTAACTATATATTTATATTTACATAAATATAAATTTAAGTATTGTCTATATTACACCCAACTTTAGTTATTTATATTATGTGATAATAAATTTATTTTTAAAAATATATGGCAGGATGGAAGGTGATGATTTGGCATTTAAATCATCAATTGTTCGTGATATAAGGGAAGCATTAGATAACTGCAACAATCCATATGTACAAACATACAAGATAATTCGTAATACAATAGCAACACAAGGTTCTCCTTTTGTTAAATTGAGAATATTAGGCAAGAGAGGTCATGATGGTAGAATATATAACCTTCCATCTGCATCTGAGGTCGCTGCCTTGGTTGTTGGTGATTTTGATGCTGCAGACTTCGATAGAGATGTGGTTGTAAAGACTCAGTCCTGACTCTTATAGCGTATATCTACATTTGAACCATCTTATTGGCCATTACAATATCCACTTTTATTTCCTAGAGAAGAAGATGGGTATAGAAGAGATATTACTTTCAAAGATTATTCAAAAGCATCTACAAGGAAAAGAAAGTTTATTATGCAACTGGAGTGGGTTGCATATAGGATTCACCAAAGAGATACAAACCATTCAACACTTTTGTTTTCTAAAAGGTTATTTCAACAATTTTTGGTTGATTTGTTTAGTATAATAGAATATGATTGCTTGAAGTACATGCGAGATCATCATAAAGACTTAAGAGCTGACATGTACAAGGGATTAACCGAGTCTATTCTCAAAGGAGAAACTGATCTAGCTATAGTGGGAAAGATAATTCTTTTGTCATCATCTTTTGTCGATGGAGCAAGACATATGTTATTGGGCTGGATATTTTGATTTGTTCATCACGTTCACATGAATCATAAATGATCTGAACTGGTTGATTTTTTGAAGCCATATTGTCTCAAACAAGAGGATCGACCCGACTTAGTTAGTCGGTTATTCAAAAGTAAACTTAACCAACTAATAAAATATTTTAAGGGTGATATTTTTGGCAAAGTCAAAGCAGGTATGCATGCGTCCTTAATATAACATTTACATTATATCATTATTTTATCTTAAAATTTTTATTAAGAAATATTTTTATATTTTTAAAAATTAATATCTTGTTTTTATTTATTATGTAGTGATATATATTATTGAATTTCAAAAGCGTGGACTGCCACATGCAGACATATTGGTTTTCTTGCAACTAAGTTATATGTTCGTCCACCCTCTTGAGATTGACAAAATAATATCTGCTGAGATTCCAGATAAGGATATAGATCCTGAGCTGTATAAGATTGTATCTTCACTTATGATACATGGTCCATGCGGTGCTCAAAATAGAAATTCTCCTTGCATGCAAAAAGACAAGTGTACCAAACGCTTTCCAATAAATGTTTTTGATGCTACAGTTATTGGCACTGAAGGTTATCCTATCTATAGAAGAAGAGACATTGTTGTGTTTATTCAAAAAGGTGAATCATTTGTTGATAATAGATATGTTGTTCCATATGATAAACTGTTGTTGTTGAAATATAATGCTCATATCAATGTTGAGTGGTGCAATCAATCACGATCTGTAAAATATTTATTTAAATATGTCAACAAAGGGCATGATTGTGTTACTGTTGGATTTTACATGGGTGCTAATGATAAAGATAATGTCGAGCATATTGATGAAATAATGATGTATTATGGTTGTAGATATCTATCAGCATATGAAGCTGGTTGGAGGATATTTCCGTTTGATATCAATTACAGAGAGCCATATGTTGAAAGATTGAGTTTTCATCTTAAGGATGAGTAGTGCGTTATTTTTCTAGATGATGCTCCAATTGAAGAGGTAGTCTATAAACCATATATAAACTCCACCAAATTTTTGGCATGGATGGATGCTAATAAAAAATATTCGGAGGCAAGAAACCTTACATACAGTGAGTTTCCTACAAAGTTTGTATGGAAAGAAAAAGAGCATCGACAGACTCCACGTCAAAGAGGATTTTCAGTTGGAAGACTGCATTATACGACACCTGGATTTAGACAATTATTCTATTTGAGAACTTTGTTGAATTATGTGAAGCGTCCTACATCTTATGATGATATCAAAATAATTAATAATATAAAGCATAATACTTTCAAGAATGCCTGCTTTGCCTTAGGATTGTTGGACGATGACAAAGAGTTTGTAGATGCAATTATGGAGGCGAGTCATTGGGGTACAAAGAGCTTTTTACACAGTTTATTTGCCACTTTATTAGTGTCAAATCAAATAAGACGACCAAATTTTGTTTGGAATAAGACATGGGAGCATTTGTTTGATGATATTTTACACCGACAAAGACAATTATTGCATTTTCATGGTATATTTTCTATATTTTTATTTTTTATTTTGATGAATGGTAGTTTTTTTGTGTGTGCGTATATATATATATAATGTATCACATTTAGGATATTTTTTGTTTCATAGTTTTTAATATTTTTTTATTTGGTAATTGTTGAATATAGCTATTTCCATTAAGTGTATATTATATTAAATTTGCAGAATTGGTCTTGACTGTTGATCAATTGAAGAGTTATGCTTTGGCTGAAATTGAAATTTTATTACAAAGTAATAACATAAGCTTGGAAGATTTTCCTAAGATGCCTCAGCCAGATAGAGAATTTTTACCCGAGAGACAAAATAGATTTATTTATGATGAGTTGAATTATGACAGGCGGTCACTGGTAGAAGAGCATCATAATTTGATGTCAACAATGACAAATGAACAAATGAGAATATATGAAAGGATCATGAAAAGGGTCGACGAAAATAGACCGAGACTTTTTTTCTTTCTATATAGTTATGGAGGAACTGACAAAACTTACATTTGGAGAGCAATGTCTGCAACAATGAGGTCAAGGGGTGAGATTGTTCTAACCGCTGCATCAAGTGGAATAGCTTCTTTGATAATTCCGACTGGAAGAACTGCACACTCAAGGTTTGCCATCCCTATAGAAGTTCATGAATGCTCGACATGTAATACCGCTTCAAAAGACCCTTTAGCTGATTTAATATGGAGTGCAAAGCTAATAATATGGGATGAAGCCCCTATGATGGACAAACATTATTTTAAAGTTGTTGATCGTACTTTTTAAGATATAATGCAAAATAAAAATATCCCATTTGGCGGAAAAGTAGTTGTTTTGGGTGGAGATTTTTGTCAAATCCTTCATGTTATCCCTAAAGGAACGAGACACGAAGTTGTGCATTCAACTATAAATTTTTCTCATCTTTGGGGAGAGAAAGAATTTTTTTGGAATGGATATTAGGAATCGGTGATAGAAGTATTGGAGATGCTAATGATGTAGATATCACAATGCAGATACCACATGATCTATTGATTCCTAGCTTTGGTGATCCACTCTCAGTTATTGTGGAAAACATGTATCCAAATCTATTACACAACTTGAATGATCCGTCTTTTTTTTTTCAAGAGAGAGAAATATTAGCTCTTAAAAATGCCATTGTCGACGCCCTTAATGATTATATGTTGGATTTAATACCTGAGGAAGAAAAAACTTATTTAAGTTATGATTCTCCAAGTAATGCTAGGTCAGACATTAACATGCCAGATGATGTGCATACTTATGAATTTCTAAACACCATTGTATCTTTTGGACTACCAAATCACAAGTTGAGATTAAAAGTTGGAGTCCCGGTAATGTTGTTGAGAAATATTGATCAGTCGTTGGGATTGTGCAATGGCACCCGATTGATAATTACAAATATGGGAAGATATGTCCATGAAGGTAAGATTATATCAGGTAGCAATGTTGGTCAGAAGTTTTTTATTCCAAGGTTATCATTGACTCCAAACGATAAAAGAATCCCTTTTAAGTTTCAACGTCGGCAGTTTCCATTGACTGTATCATTTGCTTTAACAATCAATAAGAGTCAAGGTCAGTCACTTAAGTATGTAAGAGTATATCTTCCCCAATCAATTTTTGCTCATGGGAAATTATATGTTGCACTGTTAAGAGTTACTTCAAAGAAAGGTTTAAAGATACTGATAACCAACAACAAAGGTGAATATACAAATATAACTGAAAATGTCGTTTACAAAGAACTCTTTCATAATGTTCAGTAGTTAGTTGTTTACTTATTTCTCAATATGTATGTCAATTCATTTATGATATTGAAAATTTTCTAATTTAAAAGTTATTCAATATTTATTTATGTTTCAAAGTTTATTTAATTTTATTTTTGATATTAGAAGCTATTTTAATTTCATTATTTCAATAGTTACATTACAGACATTATTAAAATGTTATATATATATATATATATATATATATATATATATATATATATATATATATATATATATATATATATATATATATATATATATATATATATATATATATATATATAATATTATCACGTGAATAAAGAATTAAATATTATATATAACATACTAAAAAAAACTGTGCATCGCACGGGTCAAAGTCTAGTCAATGCTAAATCTTCCTAGTTGCATTGGAGATTGAAGTCACTTGCAAAATGAAATAGGTCCCTAACACAATATCTAGGTTAAATTAACTGTTACTTGAATCAATTGGAGATTTGATGTAATTCTTGATGAGCATCAAACTTTAACTTTAATTATCAGGTATCACAATGTAGCGGAAAACATAAGTTTCTCTTAAGTTGATCCTTACACACTACTACAAAACACGTAAACAACAACACCATGTCACCAGGGTTCTTCCCTACACCATGGTGACATCTCTAAACTAAGACGATATCATATTATTTTTGTTTTTTGATTAAAAGTTATTTGTATATAACAACAGTTGAGGAGCCAACCGTGGTAATACCATCAAGCTTTCATGGGTTCGAACCTCAACGCCCTCATATATATTACTCCTTTAATGTTAAGGCGCGCCTTTTTTTTAAAATAAAAAACTTAAAGGGTCATGACTACGGTTGGTGAGTTCCACCGTTGTGATATTTTTTTTTATTTAAAATTTTTAATTTAAATTAAACTCTAGCGCTTCTTTATGAAATTTCACTATGAAAGTAATATATCATAACGGTTGTTGGTATTGGCTGTGGTGGTAGCTTCATAATATTATACACTCTTAGTTAGCTTGTCTATTTAGTATCATTTTTTCCATTAAAAATAGAAACAATACACGATTTCAACCCTAAACCCTAACATTCAATATTGTGAAACAATACCATCGTTCACTTTAGCTTGTCTGTTAAGTATCCATTTTTCACTGTGTATTTGTCATTTTCTTCATCATCGTCAAGGAGGTTGACAAGACCATCACGATCATGATTTCAACCAAGTTGTCACTGTTGACAAAGAAGACAACACCAACACCAACACCAACACCAACACCAAGACCGTCGTTTCTGTAAG